AAAATTACAAGATAAAAGGCATGACATCTTAATCCTTGGAAATTGTCGTATTATGAATATCACATGATAAAATAAATGTAAGTAGTAAATAAAATGAAGTTAAATAAAGATTTTTTATTGTTCTACTTACAGATCAAAAATAATCATTTACATATACTATGTATACAGATACAACAATGAAAGAAAGAAGCAAGAAAAAGAGGCATCAATAGGCGGTCCTATCGCTGAAAAGCGATTTCTTCCAGAAAACCTTACCACTACCTAATTGAAATCAATTTTAATATCAATAAACCTTCCTTAACAGACAGTTTTCGGTCAGTGTGTATATATGCAGGAGACATTTGCAAAACAGTGGAAAATTTTGCCAATATCGAATGAAATTTAAATAGGACCGCCTTTAAAATACAGGCATCGTACGTAATTTGAGTTGTCGTGCATTCTGCATTTATAATGATAGTGGAGTGCTTCTAAATGTGTCAGAATATATAATTGTGCAACACAACTAACCATAATGGCTATTGATGCGGCACTAATTCGTGTCCTACTTCACTCTAGTAAATACTTTATTATTATAACTAGACACCCTCCCCGACTTCGACTGCATTGGAAAGGTTAATTTAATAAATATAAAATAGAACTCATGGTACTCGATAATAAAATGTTCTATTTTGCGGTTAATAGAATTTTTAAAGCCAGTAAAATATTTTTTGAGATTATACATTAACAAAAATTCTTTCTTTTTTTATGTTACTTTCGACTGCAAATTATACTATAGTACGGATTACGTGAAACGGAATTTTTAAAATAGATATATGTACTATTTTTTGACATTATCCATTATAGAAGGATCTTTACATTATTTTTTGTGAGATTTTGTGTAATGAACACTAAAATAATGAAATAAATAATTAGATACTTTTTTTTAATACATATGTTATTATTATTTTATTACATAACTAAGCATGTAAAAATATAATACTCAGACTGATACCAATAATCATACTGCCTATTACCTTCATAATATAAGTTTGTACCATGCGCGGAATTCAACCCGCGACTATCGGAAGTAAAATCTTGTGCCAAACCGTAAGACCACTGAGAATGACAGAAAATAAAGAATAATACATTCATAAAAGTTTCTCAAGAAATAACGTTTACGCATATACTTATAAATGTAAATGTTTAAAGCTTAAGGGTTGTAGAAATGAACATCATTCGGTGCATACAGCCTCTCCTATAAGGTTTCTGGCTCAAAGGGATAAATGTAGAATATAGAAGTGACAGTAGATATATCTTTCTCCGCTCCCCTACATGGACTTTAATTATGCCGAGTCTTATATTTTTTGTGCTGGCAATGTGATTAAAAATGGGTAAAAAGTTCATTGCATCGCGTATTAGTGAGTAAATATTCTGAGTTAATAAAGGCATTGTTAATATTCATATCTGAAGAGCGCTTGTGATAGGATATTTTGTAAAATAACTTGTTTCAGAGCTTACACGGATTTGTTGGACGTTTTAAGTCTCTCCCCAGGGTAGGTATTAGCTATGTTGAGTTTTTCGTAACGTAATTAATGAAAATATTGACGCTAATGGAATTTATTTTTTATTGTATTGAGGAAAGGTTTTCTGGGAATTCATACTGACTTTTCTAACAATAGAAATACTTGTGTCTCGTAGCTTGTGTCGTGTATTACTAAGAAAATTTCGATCTATTTTAGTGCTGGATTGTCCATCTGTGTATATAAATTTAAAGGAGTTAAACTGATTAAGTTACGGATATGTATGTTATGTATACATTATTCAATTCAATAAATGTGTAAACCATTTCTAATTGCATAATTAACAGTATTTCCATCATAGAACAATAACCAAAGTAAGTAAATAGATACAAATAATTTGTTATTAAAAATTATTTAGCCAAGTCTGTGCAGTAGCGCCTAAACGAAGCTAAGCCAGTATCTTAGACACCAGTACATTCTTTAAGGTAAAATGTATATGAAAAGTCATACACTTTTCATACAATTTTTGAAGTATTGAATGAAAAAAGATGGGGTGACAAAGGCGATAAAAGTTTGTTCAGACGAAGTTGAGTGTAACAGTTAGTAATTTAATAGCTTTAGTTTACAGCACCTCACAATTCTTCTACCAAGAATCTTAACTTAGATTCAGCATTATACTGATTCGTTTCTTTATATATTTATATTGTTTTCTAATTCTGTACAATAAGGCATTACGAATAAACAAGCAAACCATTATTGTCAAATGCACACGTGATATCTACTCTCCTATTAAAGTCTGAGTATTTAGGATATTACTCCCACGCTGGCCAGCAGGTATGGCACAGTTTTCTTCCGACTTTTCCTCTTATCGCACAGATGTACTTGTTCATTGTTTCCTCAGTCGCCGCTTACGACTTCTGAATATTGTAATTACAGTGAAATACACAAATAAAATAACATTAAATTTAACGTTAGGTTACGTGCAACGCTTTTAACTCGTAACAACTTTGACAACTTTCCTTGTTATAACTTTAATTAGATCACGTGAATCCAGTTAAACATATTGTGTAAATCTAAACTGTTACAATATAATAAACAGGATTTCATGTTTACGAACGGAATAGGATTGCGTTTAAAATAATATTTAATTAAAACTGCTGAATTTGTGGAAATACACTTAAAGGGGTGAATTGTGATGAATAAAGTAAGTTGTGTTTTAACTACATACAATAGACTTCCATTACTTCTTTCTTAGGAGACTTAGGATAAATGTAGACATTATTGTTTTTTTAATTAATAATAATGGAGTTGCGTACGCGCATGGGCTTATGCAGGACACCAATGAAAAATTATGTCAGATCAGATTACTTCATCCTGACAATTTCTCCAGTTTTAATGGTTTCTAGGTAGGTCCACGTATAGCGCGATCTAACATGGTACATAGCAACGAGGTTCCCATCCCGAATAAAGGTATATACATACATAAATAGGCATTCAAAATCTACCAAGTATTTGATATGATTTTTAAATGCCTGTTTATTTTGATTATATACAATGACAAATCTTTTCTATAGCATGAAGGTAATAAATAATTTACTAATAAAAATACCATAGAAAGTGAAGCACACCTGTGTACAATTATGCGTGAATGAGTCTAGTAGTCTTAGCCAATGTTATAGAATAAATACTTGCCATATTACATATAGAAAACCGTATACCTGGACTATACGTTTATATCGAATGTACCTAGACATAATCTAGTGGATGAACTTTCTTTATATAAAAAACTGAATAATTTTGTGAATCCATTAAAGAAATAGTGTTTGCCATTTTCTTTAATATTAAGCACACAACTGGAAAGAAACGTGCAGAGGAATGCAACTTCTAAAATAGGTTTATTAGATTTATTCGACGTTTGATATTTTTATGAAATAACGGAGTCTTCTTCTTAAACCAGTGACACATTTCAACCTTAATAAAATTTTGAAATATCTTTTATATTTTCAATGTAAACCAATCGATATTTATTTTCGATTATATTCCATGTTTGTTATTTTAATAAGTATAGGAGCCTATAGATTATGCATCACGACTATGTATAATTAAAATGCTAGTGTTGAGTTTGACGTATAGTGTGATGATACACCATGATGAATCAGAATACCTGAGGAAGTTTGAAGAGATAGCACTAGAGTGGAAGAAGTTACAAAGTAACTATCTGTTTTGGTATAAGTATACAGTTATTAATGCATAGGTAAATAATTTCTTCTATCAAAGGTAAAATATTACCTCTCGTACATACTCAGATTGTAGAATTAGAATGCGCGCGCGCTATCGCCGGTGGTGGGTCGCATGATTGATTGACACCAATCTTGTAAAAAACACCGCTTGTGTTTATTATATCTACTCTATGATAATTAAATTAGATAGTGTTTAAAAAGAATAAAATTCAAATAGATATAAATAAACAGGATATGCGTATTATTATCACGTGACTGAGCAGTTCCGTGCCTTACGTTGAACTAGACAATGTCCGCCGTTTTTCATAAAAAAAGTAAACCATTTTAATTACAATTACTTTTTAAAGAAAACTGACTATTTATTAACAACCAAATATAACACTAACGGGTTATGTGAAAATACTTATACATATCCTGGGTTTCTGTTGGATAAAGCGATGGCTGCTTCAGATAACAAGATATGTAAACAAGAAACACATCACGGGATCTAATCTAACTTTTACGTTGTTAGAGTATATTTTCTACAAGACTTTTGCTTGACGGAAGTTGGAAATTATTAAGGTGTACTTTAGATTAACAGGATAAATAATATAGTATGTAATTGATATCGTAAAATGCAACTAACAGCGTCGTAGAAATAGAAATAATATTTATTCAAATAATCTTAATACAAGCACTTTTAAATTGTTACATTTTTTTAATCTACCACTGTGGGGTACACAATTAAAAGATCTTCGATTTTCAAAATATGTGGACTGTATTTCAATTTGTTTCTTATTCTATGGGTCGGCCGGCCGGAGTGGGGTTTTCTTGGTCGTTGCGCCGGCGGTGGTTCTTCGTCGGTGGCGTATGCGTAAGAGCGCGCGATCGAGAACCAACCCGCCTTTTACGGGCGCCCGAGCGCGTCCTTCCCCACCCCCGCCGAGCTGTGCGCGTCGGCCGTCCCACCCTCCCGACAATTCCTGCACATGTCGGTGACCGACGGGCCGGAACAGCGAATACGCACACATTTAAAATTAAATACAATAGTAACAATACAAAAAACTACAAAAAACCACGTGCGACTAAATGCCACATGTTCAGGCTACACTAAAGCTGTGATCCCTAAGAATTTACACAATGGGCGGGCATAGAATTCACAGTATCTATGCCGCTACAAAGGGTATATGGTACAAACAATAGTCTAACCTAAACAATAGTCAAAACACTGGAAAAATACAAATTTATACACAAAATTTATTTACATATTTTCGATGCCGACTCGTGGTCCGCAACAGCCTCCCCCCGGCGCAGATCTTCGCAGCCCTTATCCCTAGGGAGGACCACTAGCCTTCGGGTCGGCCTTCGAAAAATTCCCCCTCGCGTCCTCACGTCCGCACTTCGCACCACGCCGTCGGGCCCCTCATAGGTGCGCTCCACTTGCCCGCGCGGCCACAGATTGCGAGGTAGCAGGCCGTCCACTATTAAAACCATGTCGCCCGGCTTGATGTTTGCCGTGCTCCGTCGTACGTCGTCTCTGGGCGTCAGCGTCGGTAGGTATTCTCGTAACCACCGCTGCCAGAATCTATCCGCGAGCGCCTGTGCTGCGCGCCACGTTCTGCGGTCGGCAACGTCGGTGGTACCTACGTACGGTAGGCCGACGGCTGAGCCCATCAGAAAATGGTTGGGGGTCAGCGCCTCTTCGTCCTCGGGTCGCACTGAGACGTGGGTTAAGGGGCGTGAATTGACGGTGTGTTCTGCTTCCGTCATTAGCGTTGCGAGCACCTCTTCTCTCGGCGCCCGCTCGTGCAGTACCACTGCTAGCGCTCTCTTCACGCTCCTTATCAGTCGCTCCCACGCTCCTCCTTGGTTCGGTGCGCCCGGGTCGCTGTACCGCCAGTTTATCCTCTTGTTGCTGACGTACTTTTCCAGTTCAGGGAGCCATTCCTTAAACGCAGTCGTAAGCTCCACGTCGGCTCCGCGAAAGTTCGTTCCGTTGTCCGACATAAAGGTTCGTGGCCAGCCGCGACGCGCTGCCATGCGTCGTATCGCCATTATAGCAGAGTCGGTCGATAACCCCGCTATGAGTTCTATATGCACGGCCCGGGTGACCATACACGTGAATAGGAGCCCCCATCGCTTCTCTCGCCTGCGACCTATCGTCACCCACATAGGCCCGAAACAATCCATACCGCATCTTGTAAACGGCCGGGCGTATGCGTCGAGTCGCTCCTTTGGCAAGTTCCCTTTCACTGGGACGTCGGGGTTCCTCCGGCGTACGGCGCATGTTGTGCATTTGCGTAATACGGTCTTGACGGTCGGCCTTAAACGCAGCATCCACACGTATTGGCGCAGGGTGTTCACCGTCTGTTCTCTGCCGGCATGATGATGTAGCTCGTGTTCTCTCTTAATCATCATCTGCGCCAACGGGTGCGCTCCGTCCAGTATGGGTGGATTCTTCATTTCTAGCGGCACCTGTGCTGCGTTTATACGTCCGTTCAAGCGTATTATGCCATCCTTGTAAACGGGATCCAGGCGGAACAGACGACTTGTCCTGTCTACGGTCTTTCCTTCGCGTAGACACCGCGTTTCCTTCGGGAAACTGTCCTGTTGCGCCTGCCGTATTATTAGTTGCTCCGCTTTGGCGAAATGCTCTGTGCCTAGCTTCTGTGCCCGTCGCCTGCATTTATCTGCGAACAGTAGCACTTGCGCCATGGTCCTCCTCACTCGGTCATATGAAGAGAACCGTGCAATGTCGATCACGGGTTCTGTCTCCTCCCGGACGTGTGCTACCATCTCTGCTGGGACGGGCTCGCTCTCATGAGGCCATTCTTGCTCCGGAGCGTACAGAAATGCCGGCCCGACAAACCATCTGTCGGCAGCGGTCATTTGTGTGTATCCCGCGCGGGTCGCGTCGTCGGCTACGTTGTGGGCAGTCGGTACCCAGCGCCACTGTGTCGGTTTCGTCAGTTCGGCGATTTCTGCCAAACGATGAGCCACGTATGGAGTATATCTGACGGTGTCGTTCCTTATCCAGTGTAGCACCGTTTTCGAGTCCGTCCATAGGAAGACTTCGGCCTCGCGACTATGTTCTTTCAATATGTCAGCGGCCAGTCGGGCTCCTATCAGGCTCGCCTGAAGCTCCATCCGGGGTATACTCTGCGCTTTCATGGGCGCTACCCTCGCTTTGGCTGCTACCAGGACGACGTTAACGCTACGATCCTCGCGTTCCGTCCTCCAATACGCGGCTGTGGCATATGCCTGTTCGCTTGCGTCCGTGAATACGTGCAGTTGCGACCGTTGGCTGTCGTTCGTGCCATACCATCGCGGCAATCTCAGTTCCTCTATATAGGCTAAGTCATCTCTCCATTCCTGGAACATCCGCGCTTCCTCGGCGGGCAGAGAGTCATCCCATTCGACCTTCTGCACCCACAGCGCCTGCAAGATGATTTTTGCCGTGATGGTGTAAGGGCTCAGCAGCCCGAGCGGGTCGAACAATGACATCACCGCTCCTAAGGCTTCCCTTTTCGTCGGTATCCGCGTGCCGTGCTTCACTTCTCGTGGGACGCGTGGCATGCCGGTGTTGAACGCCAGCTGGTCTTCGGCTGACATCCACAATAACCCCAATGTCTTTCCGTATGGATGTGCGTTGGCTCCCAGTTCCTTCGGCGTCCTCGCTCGCTGGTCCTCACTCACATTCTCTAGCAGGCTCGGTCGGTTTGTATTCCAACCCGCCAGCGTGAATCCTATCCCGCCATGAACCTCTACTACCTCTCGAATGGCGCGGGCTGCTTCCTCTTCGGAGTCAAAGCTATCGACCCAGTCGTCCATGTAGTGGTTCCTTGTTATGGCGGTGTACGCTGACGGGTGCGACTCTCGGTGCTCTGCCGCGTTCCTGTCTCGAACGCTGTGTGCGATGAACGGTGAGCTCCTCGCCCCGAAAATCATTGAGGTCATTACGTATTTCTGCGGCGGGTTAATCCTGTCATCTCCTCGCCACAGAAACTGTTGTGCTGCTCTATCTTCTTCCCGTATCTTAATCTGCAGGAACATCTCTCGTATGTCTGCCGTGATAGCTACGGGCTTCTCGCGGAAACGGTATAACACACCGTTAAGCGACCGTAGCATATCTGGCCCATCCAGCAGTACGTCGTTCAAGCACATTCCCTTCGAACGGGCCGCGGCGTCGAATACGAGTCGCAGCTTTCCGGGTTTATTCGGATTCGTCACTCCGAAATGGGGAAGGTACCACGCGCGGTCGTTGTTGAACCGGTCGTCGGTTACTTTCTCGGCGTAACCCTTGTCCAACAACTTGTTTATCTCCGCGGTATACGCCAGCCGGAATTCCGTAGAGCGATCCATCCGCCGCTCTATTCCCCTCAGTCGGCTCGCTGCCATGTCGTAGCTGGGAGGTAGAACGACGTTATCTCTCTCCCACGGCAATCCTACGACGTATCGCCCATCCACTCTCGTCGCTGTGCGGTTGAATGTGGCGACGGCGCGCTCCTCCTTAGCGATGGGTAATCTCTTCGACGATATACCCAACGCGTCGATGTCGTAATGCGCTTTTATTATGCCCTCTATATGCCGCATGTCTGGCTCGGCGTTGCGCTGTGTCAACCGCACGTGGAGGACATGTTCCTCGTCTTCCACGACACTTCTGGGTACCGTTCCGTGGATGACCCATCCCAGTCGTGTCAGCGACGCTGCGGGTTGATTGTGCCTTCCTGTGAGCAGCTTCCGCGTAACAATTAGATGCCAGTTGTCTGACCCGATCAAGACCTTGGGTCTGGCATCTTCGTAGCACACTTGCTCGCAAGTGAGTTGTCGCAGGTGTCCGTACGCGAGTATTTCCGGGTTCACTCGCTGCGTTCCTAGGGTGAGATCCCGGATCGTACGCGCCCTCACCGAGTGTTCTTCGTCCGTATGGTGTCGCCCTCTGATGATGACATCAGCCACTCGGCTTGAGGCTTCGTGCCAGCTCGAGGCCGCTCCCTGAATTCTCAGAGATCGCGTCGGACCTTCGGCTCCGATCTGTTCTGCGATCTCCGCATCGATGAGTGTAACCGTCGAGCCTTCATCTAGCATCGCGTACGTCTCTACTTCGCGTCCCGTCTTGCCTTTCACGATGATGGGACACACCTTTAACAACACTTGGCTGTTCTCTGGCAAGCGTGCTGCGGCTGTAATCGCGGTGTCCTCTTGCCGCTTCGGCGGTTCTTCTGGGGGTGCAGCAGGGCGTGGTGTGGCTTACGACACTCTCTCACACCACATTTGCGTGCCTTACACTTGAACCTTCTGTGCGTGCTGTTCATGCATTGGAAGCACATCTTATTTGTTTTCGCCCACTCCCATCTGTCTGATAACGACATGTCGTTCAGCTTCTTACACTTCGGCGTTACGTGTGCGGCGCCGCAACAGAGACATTCGGTACTCTGTTCGCTCTTTTCTACGGCGGCGTATACGGCCGCGCCACGATCCGTCATCTGTCGCCGAGGTGCCGACATCGTTGCTTTCGGTATGGGTTGCCTAGTGGGTTGCTTCGGGGGCTGCTTCGTGGGTAGCGCGCTCGTTCGTCTCGTTGGTGATGCTATTCGCAGATGTCGGGTCATGAGATCGGCTTCGCTCATTAAAAACTCTGCCATCTTGATGATCGTAGGTCTAGTGTCCTCCTTGTTTTTTTCAGCGTAGTGACACCAGTGGACCTGTAAGTGAGGGGTCAGCTTCTCTGATACTTCACTCTCAAGCGCGGGATTATGTAGGAATCTCGCCCCCCTGTCGATATCCGCGACGATGGTGGTGATGTTCTGTAGTTTAATGGCGAAGTCAATCACCTCTGTTGTCGATGTTCCTATTACCGGCATCCTTCTCAGATCTTTGAGGGCGCGGTCGATGATGGCCTCTGTCCGGCCGTACCGCTGCTCCAACGTCCTCATGATCTGCGACGGTTCTGTAGCGGATACGAGTAACGCTGCGACTGTCTCTCTCGCTTTTCCACGTAAGCAGGCCCTCAGCCTGGCCAGGTTCTCCGCTGGTGTGATCCTGTACGTCTTTGTAGACTGGTCTACGGCCGCCTTAAACGCTAGCCATTCACTTGCTTCGCCGCTGAAGATCGGGAGATCTTGGGCTTGCCTCGGCGCTACCCTATCCGCTCGTTCGTCCACAGCTCGTTCAATAGCTTTGGCCAACCGGGTGAATCCTTCTTGCATCCCGGCTTCAGGAGCGGGGGACCTCCGTCTTTGCTTCGGCGTCCTCGGCGGTGAAGCTTGCCTTTCTGTTGGCTCTTTCTGCGTAGGCGGTGGGGAATTAATTCTCTGCTCCCCCCGTACTTCGGTACGTTGAAACCAATCCGTTATACGTTGCAGGCCGGCACCTTCCTCGGAGCACACGCTATCTCTATCGGTCTCTTCATGTACCGCGGCGACATCGGCTGCCAACTTCTTTCTAATTAAATCAGCCTGTAATTTCGCCATCTGTAGCGCTGCCTCGTACTCCAGCCTCTTTAATTTAGCTATACCGCTAGCGGTAGAGCGGCGCGATCGCACCGACGCGGCCCGGGCCGGACGTACATCTGTCGTCGGCGGCTGCGACGGTGGCGCCGGTGCGGAGTCCGAGGTAAACGCGGCGCGGGCGGCTTGTGCCTGTGGCGCGCTCGACGGCGCGGCGGACGCGGACATCTGCGTGGTTTCTGAAGGGGACGCTTCTGTCTGTTCATTTTCCCGCGTGGTCTTTTTCTCTGCTCCCGGGGCTTGGCTTCTCGTAGTCGGCATCGTGTTCTGGCACTTGCAAGCCCCTAACCTACCGGTCCCTACCTACCTAACCGTCCCTAACAATCCCTCAGGATAACACCCGAGGGGATGGACTATGGGGATAGGAGGGTAGGAATTACCCCGCAGTGGTGCGTATGTACCGACGGGCCGGAACAGCGAATACGCACACATTTAAAATTAAATACAATAGTAACAATACAAAAAACTACAAAAAACCACGTGCGACTAAATGCCACATGTTCAGGCTACACTAAAGCTGTGATCCCTAAGAATTTACACAATGGGCGGGCATAGAATTCACAGTATCTATGCCGCTACAAAGGGTATATGGTACAAACAATAGTCTAACCTAAACAATAGTCAAAACACTGGAAAAATACAAATTTATACACAAAATTTATTTACATATTTTCGATGCCGACTCGTGGTCCGCAACAGCGCTCAGGGCCGGTTCGGACTTTCCGACCCCTTTGGCAGTGCCTACAGTCCGGCCCCCGCTATACGATACACACGTACAGGCGTAATAGTGCTATTCGGTTGCGCCACGGTAACAAGCAACAACCGGCAGTGACACAGCCGCGTATTGGAGGACGGAACGCGAGGATCGTAGCGTTAACGTCGTCCTGGTAGCAGCCAAAGCGAGGGTAGCGCCCATGAAAGCGCAGAGTATACCCCGGATGGAGCTTCAGGCGAGCCTGATAGGAGCCCGACTGGCCGCTGACATATTGAAAGAACATAGTCGCGAGGCCGAAGTCTTCCTATGGACGGACTCGAAAACGGTGCTACACTGGATAAGGAACGACACCGTCAGATATACTCCATACGTGGCTCATCGTTTGGCAGAAATCGCCGAACTGACGAAACCGACACAGTGGCGCTGGGTACCGACTGCCCACAACGTAGCCGACGACGCGACCCGCGCGGGATACACACAAATGACCGCTGCCGACAGATGGTTTGTCGGGCCGGCATTTCTGTACGCTCCGGAGCAAGAATGGCCTCATGAGAGCGAGCCCGTCCCAGCAGAGATGGTAGCACACGTCCGGGAGGAGACAGAACCCGTGATCGACATTGCACGGTTCTCTTCATATGACCGAGTGAGGAGGACCATGGCGCAAGTGCTACTATTCGCAGATAAATGCAGGCGACGGGCACAGAAGCTAGGCACAGAGCATTTCGCCAAAGCGGAGCAACTAATAATACGGCAGGCGCAACAGGACAGTTTCCCGAAGGAAACGCGGTGTCTACGCGAAGGAAAGACCGTAGACAGGACAAGTCGTCTGTTCCGCCTGGATCCCGTTTACAAGGATGGCATAATACGCTTGAACGGACGTATAAACGCAGCACAGGTGCCGCTAGAAATGAAGAATCCACCCATACTGGACGGAGCGCACCCGTTGGCGCAGATGATGATTAAGAGAGAACACGAGCTACATCATCATGCCGGCAGAGAACAGACGGTGAACACCCTGCGCCAATACGTGTGGATGCTGCGTTTAAGGCCGACCGTCAAGACCGTATTACGCAAATGCACAACATGCGCCGTACGCCGGAGGAACCCCGACGTCCCAGTGAAAGGGAACTTGCCAAAGGAGCGACTCGACGCATACGCCCGGCCGTTTACAAGATGCGGTATGGATTGTTTCGGGCCTATGTGGGTGACGATAGGTCGCAGGCGAGAGAAGCGATGGGGGCTCCTATTCACGTGTATGGTCACCCGGGCCGTGCATATAGAACTCATAGCGGGGTTATCGACCGACTCTGCTATAATGGCGATACGACGCATGGCAGCGCGTCGCGGCTGGCCACGAACCTTTATGTCGGACAACGGAACGAACTTTCGCGGAGCCGACGTGGAGCTTACGACTGCGTTTAAGGAATGGCTCCCTGAACTGGAAAAGTACGTCAGCAACAAGAGGATAAACTGGCGGTACAGCGACCCGGGCGCACCGAACCAAGGAGGAGCGTGGGAGCGACTGATAAGGAGCGTGAAGAGAGCGCTAGCAGTGGTACTGCACGAGCGGGCGCCGAGAGAAGAGGTGCTCGCAACGCTAATGACGGAAGCAGAACACACCGTCAATTCACGCCCCTTAACCCACGTCTCAGTGCGACCCGAGGACGAAGAGGCGCTGACCCCCAACCATTTTCTGATGGGCTCAGCCGTCGGCCTACCGTACGTAGGTACCACCGACGTTGCCGACCGCAGAACGTGGCGCGCAGCACAGGCGCTCGCTCGTGCAGTACCACTGCTAGCGCTCTCTTCACGCTCCTTATCAGTCGCTCCCACGCTCCTCCTTGGTTCGGTGCGCCCGGGTCGCTGTACCGCCAGTTTATCCTCTTGTTGCTGACGTACTTTTCCCCAGTTCAGGGAGCCATTCCTTAAACGCAGTCGTAAGCTCCACGTCGGCTCCGCGAAAGTTCGTTCCGTTGTCCGACATAAAGGTTCGTGGCCAGCCGCGACGCGCTGCCATGCGTCGTATCGCCATTATAGCAGAGTCGGTCGATAACCCCGCTATGAGTTCTATATGCACGGCCCGGGTGACCATACACGTGAATAGGAGCCCCCATCGCTTCTCTCGCCTGCGACCTATCGTCACCCACATAGGCCCGAAACAATCCATACCGCATCTTGTAAACGGCCGGGCGTATGCGTCGAGTCGCTCCTTTGGCAAGTTCCCGTTCACTGGGACGTCGGGGTTCCTCCGGCGTACGGCGCATGTTGTGCATTTGCGTAATACGGTCTTGACGGTCGGCCTTAAACGCAGCATCCACACGTATTGGCGCAGGGTGTTCACCGTCTGTTCTCTGCCGGCATGATGATGTAGCTCGTGTTCTCTCTTAATCATCATCTGCGCCAACGGGTGCGCTCCGTCCAGTATGGGTGGATTCTTCATTTCTAGCGGCACCTGTGCTGCGTTTATACGTCCGTTCAAGCGTATTATGCCATCCTTGTAAACGGGATCCAGGCGGAACAGACGACTTGTCCTGTCTACGGTCTTTCCTTCGCGTAGACACCGCGTTTCCTTCGGGAAACTGTCCTGTTGCGCCTGCCGTATTATTAGTTGCTCCGCTTTGGCGAAATGCTCTGTGCCTAGCTTCTGTGCCCGTCGCCTGCATTTATCTGCGAACAGTAGCACTTGCGCCATGGTCCTCCTCACTCGGTCATATGAAGAGAACCGTGCAATGTCGATCACGGGTTCTGTCTCCTCCCGGACGTGTGCTACCATCTCTGCTGGGACGGGCTCGCTCTCATGAGGCCATTCTTGCTCCGGAGCGTACAGAAATGCCGGCCCGACAAACCATCTGTCGGCAGCGGTCATTTGTGTGTATCCCGCGCGGGTCGCGTCGTCGGCTACGTTGTGGGCAGTCGGTACCCAGCGCCACTGTGTCGGTTTCGTCAGTTCGGCGATTTCTGCCAAACGATGAGCCACGTATGGAGTATATCTGACGGTGTCGTTCCTTATCCAGTGTAGCACCGTTTTCGAGTCCGTCCATAGGAAGACTTCGGCCTCGCGACTATGTTCTTTCAATATGTCAGCGGCCAGTCGGGCTCCTATCCGGCTCGAAGGACCACAAAATTGTGGGGTACACAATTAAAAGATCTTCGATTTTCAAAATATGTGGACTGTATTTCAATTTGTTTCTTATTCTATGGGTCGGCCGGCCGGAGTGGGGTTTTCTTGGTCGTTGCGCCGGCGGTGGTTCTTCGTCGGTGGCGTATGCGTAAGAGAGCGCGATCGTTTTTTTTTTTTTTTTTTTTTTTTTTTTTTTTTTTTTTTTCGGACTACTCTAATGCTGTTGGCCGTAGCTGGCCTTTACAGCTTCACCGGACGTTATGGGGCGAGTGCAGATGGCACTATGTAACGTATGTCTATCAGTATATATACTGATAGACATACGTAACTGACATTACAGGGTTTGTTCTGTTTGAGACTGAAGACTTGTCTGAGACTAAGATTAAATAGTCCTAGGTACAAATAAAAAACAACAAAATGCACAATTGTTCGCGATTTCAGTCGAGTAACGAGATAATTCATTTAGAACGTTCCTAGCTATTTCCTAGCATCCTCATTAAATGAGAATCCAAAGGCCATTGTTCGTGTTGCATGTACCTGTACTAAGTGTTTGTTGGTATAAATTTATTCACATTATACGTATTTTGATGTTCTTACTTAAGAAAGAAACACTGATGTAACTTTACCCATTACTCCTATCAATCCATTCAATTTTTACCTACTGATTATTTGGTAGAGAATGTTCATATGGCAGTTAGCTCACAAATTGTACATTTATAACTAGCTGTCCCGCGAAAGTTCGTATGCGTCACCCCGTTTTTGGAACATCTTCTATTGCAGGCTCCGCTTCTATAGGACATAGTATGCCTATAATCTTCTTCAATAAATAGGTTATAAAACGATGAAAAATTTTCAAAATCGGATGAGCAGTACTGAACATTATCCCGATCATATTTATTCACAAATTTTACCTATTTATGATATTACTAATAATAACTCTAAGCTATTCACACACCAAAGAATTCATACACCGAAGAATTTCGAGTATGAATTCTTTGGAATAATAATAACCCTGGACAATTTTCAGAGCGCCATCTAGTCCCGTGGTAAACAAAGCTTGTGTTATTGGTACTAAACAACTTATTTATATTTTTTTATAAAAACATAATATACATATAAAACACCCAGACCGATAAAAACAATCATACTCATGAATACAAATGTTTGTACCGAATCGAACCCGCGACCATCGGAGGAAAAGCGTATCCTATACCTTTAGACCACGGAGGATGTCGATTTTTATACATTTCAATAAAGAATGAATAAATAAGTATTCAGTGACTTAATCTAAATCCACGTTGTTGCAAGCATTAGACCATGAATCAATGGAGTCGTGTTCCTGTAGTTGAATCCATGTTACCTTGTTACACGGACTGAGAATTACTAGAGTTTCAGTTTACAACTGTATCTATTGCTCATTAAAACTTCCACTTCAAGTGTTTGTGTTATGAATTTCCGTGGAAATATATTACACTAGCGAGACGCCCGACTTCACACGGCTAGGTTACAGAGATTAGATAATATGTTGGAGGTCGCAAAATTATACCTGTGGTATATACATAATAATAATAGTAAAAATAACCCAGGAAAATTGATACAGCGCCATCTAGTTCTAAACTAAGTAATGCTTGTATATAATTGTAGATAATGGATAGAAATTCTTTTAACCACTTATGCATTGCGAATCTAGAGTACTGACGTGTCGTGCCTCTTCATTCAGATTTCCTTTATTATAACTGAAAATTAGTTTTTAATTAGATTCTCTTCTGAGCTATGACTCTTTCTGTATTGATGTAGTATAAGTACATATTTAATAATATTGATCTAAATATTCTCTTATGTGTATTGCTTGTAATTGAACCTATATATGTGTACTGAATATAACAATAGATCTCTTACCTATCTATCTTATAGTTCTGTAATTTCAGCTACATAAAAACGACTGTTTTACAAGTTGCTGCTTAGCAACCGAGAGACAGCTGATTGGGCACCGCATTTTATATTTATCTGTCACTATATTGTTTGTAATACATCGTTATCAAATAATATGTGACATTAGCGATATGGTAGCGACGCGAAGCGGCCGACGACACAAACTACCTTTTACCATTATCATACGATAATAAGGGACGCTTTATCAAAATGACTAAGTTATCTCCAAAATTAGATATCTTAGAATAATAATATAAAGTCTCAACTGTTATTCCAGGCAGAATAGTCAGTGATTGACAACTGTCGTGGTGAACTCAAAACTCGATGCCCGTTATTTTTTTTCATTGATGATAATGAAATGGTGCCTGCGTCCACGCTGTTGGTTTACGCTGGCGGGGCACCAGTAATGAATGATAAGATGAATATGGGGTCAAGTCAGTTAGCCCACCATGACAAATTCATCAGGAATTTGACATTACGGTTCCAGGAGGCACCGCGTGGAGGTCAACCTGATATAGTACATAGTTAGCAATGGGGTCAGCAGTTCTCTATACTAACAATCTCCTCGCTCATGCCTGGGGTACATTTAAGAATCAGAATTAAGAATTTTAATCTAATGCACATCGTTGGGGCTGCTTAGTATTTGTTATCGATGTTTATATCACTGAAGAGTCACGCTACTAGACCAAGAGGCCGCTAAACATAAAATATCTTATCTAGTATAAAAGTTGTAATTGGAAATTCAAAATTGTTTTTGTTTTATAGTGTAGGACCTTTCGGCCACTTCTGCATGTCAATTTTTTATCACTGTTCCTATCGTGCAATTTTTCTAGCTATATCTGTTGAGAAAATCTGCCTATATACACAACTGGTACATTTTTATTTAATTTGTTTTATTACTTTCAATATTTGAATAATAAACATTCTTCATTAGAATATGATATACATAGGTCTCAAATGTTATATTTGATATTGATTTTTAATTAAAAAAAAGATTTAAAATATATATCCGATTGCACTAAGAATGAATGTGTAGCGGTTTCTATGTTGATTATCGCAAGCAAGGCTGAAACTTAGGCTATTTTAAAAATTCTATTTATTTTAATAAAATTAAGTGTTAAAGTAACGTGAATGATTTCGCTGATAAGAGCTATTTAATAATAATAATGTATTTATTGTTAGGTATTACAAAACGTTGTATGCATTATCAACAAGTCCATGAATTGTATATTAATTTTATGATTATGAAGGTACATTTATCAACTTTTATATTGTAAATTTATATAAGTGTGTTATAGATAAATGCTATTTAATAATAAACTGCACTTTGTGAATTTATTTTTGTTATCTTCTAAACATAATTCTAAATATTCCTGCACAGGTTGTACTTGAACTATTGCTGCACCATATCTAGTAGAATTATGCTACAATGATTCAAATAGTCGAATCTAATTTCGTGCTATTGTTATTTTGTATTAATTGTTTTGACTCTGAGGTTTGACTAACAAAAGGTTTTAATAAATGGTATATACACTGCTGCTTGCCAGTGGCGTCGTGTAGTTACACGGGATATTATACAAAAAATGTTTTTAACATATTACATTAATGTAATAATGTTTATTGCAAAGGTTCCTTTAATGATGGTTAGAACTCTAAAAATGGCGAGATACATTATCTCAACTCTAACAATGACTGTACAATAGATTGTGAATAATTATCAACAGAAACACGTCACCAACCGGACTCGAGGCACGCGACCAAACCAGGAAAAGAAAAAAAAGAAAACGAAAATAACGAATATGCTCACAGAGTATATATAACTTTATGGAAATAACGGTATG